CAGGACTATTATTGCCAATTAACCTGATATAGTGGTAATAAACCGATTAGAGCGCCAAGCAATGATCGTTGACATTACCATCCCACATTATGACAGTCTCTTGAAAGCTGAAAAAGATAAACAAGTAAAATATTTGGCCCACGAGATTGTCGACATGTGGGTTGTGGATTCAGCAATCATTATAGCGATAGTAAAAGATTAAAAAGCGCTTGTAATCTGACGATAAAATATATATATATACACAGTAACGTAGATTTCAAAGATCTTAATATTCAATTGAGAGTTTCTTAAAGGAATTTTATATAAATGAAATAATAATAACAATTTAATTTCAGCTTAACTTTAATTAAAATCATAAGGATAGTTAATAGATCATACAACAGAATGACTTTGAATGATACCACTATGTTGTAACTTTGAGAATGGCTATATTGTACTTTGACACTCCACCTTGACTTGAAAGCCACAGTCGCCATAATATTTGAAGATAATACATTTTCTAATAAAGTAGATACTATGAGGAATTCTCAGTGTTTTATACAATTACAATTACTATATAGTCTCCGTTTCTAGTTCCGCTTGGATGTGAAAAGTTCCTGCAATTCTTTACTTTTTATTAGTAAATTTCAGTATAGTTAATTAATAAAAAGTTGAAAAATATAGAAGTTCTTTCTAGTTAGCTTGCAGTGCAATGCATCGCAAATAGTTATTCATTTTACATTGTGACCTAGACAAATAAACTTTGTTTAACATTTACAAGTACTACGAACTGTGGCGAAATTGGCGAGATGCAAAAGTATTTTGTGAACCTTCGGAAGTACTTATGTGTTTTTGCTTGATATTTAAATTCAAAGTTGTACAGTGTAGACTTAACAATAATTAGTCCAAGATACCTTTAGATATGCCATGGCTCGCTCCATAAATTGACTCTGACTATGGTCAGTACCAAAAAAGGTCAGGAGAGCGGCAGCGAAAGGTACCGACTTTATAACCAGATCATTTGATGTACTTGGGATAATGATCGCTATCAACTCCTATTGCCACTGCTAAAACATTCGTGAGCTGTTTAGGGCAAAAGACGATGATACGAGACGATGATATACGATGATTTAAGGACTGCACGGATGGTGTAGTGGTTTAAGCGGTCGCCACGCCGCTTCCTACTACGCCGAGTGTTGTGGGTTCAAACCCCACATGGGACGACACTTTGTGTGATCCACAAATTGTTGCTCTGAGTCTGGGTGTCCTTTGTGTCCGTTTCATGTATGTTTGTAAAGTCCCCCGCGACACAGGATTTATTCCTAATGCGGGCGTTGTCTTTTAAAAAAAAAAAAAAAAAAGGAAATGATCATGTTTGGTGTTTTTATGAGCAATTGCCTTTGATCTTAAATGGGTAGCATTAGTATCTTAATAAATAATTATACTAGAAATGGAGAGAATCAAGATTTGATCTTATACTCTGATTTTTAATTGAATGACTTGATGCTTAGACTGAAGTCGCTTCCATCAAATTTATAAAAGTTGTGGAATTTAATTTTTTTTAAGTTGTATTAAAATTACGCGGTAAGTTACTGCTTTGAGAGCCTTCTTCCTAAAAGTATGGGTGGTAGACGGTTAAGCGTCCGATAGCTTCATTTATTCGTTTACAAGCAACTTAAGAATTCCTTAGTATCAGTCCGGTCGAGCGGGCCCGTACATACCGAAGAATTGCCCTCCCACGGCAACTTTCACACTTGTTTTAAAAATGGTTATAAATAATAATTTTCACGTATTATTAAAATAACCCTTTCTGAATATTATCTACTATATTAATTTGTAGATATAATTTATCTTCAATAATTAAAAAACACCGGTCAAAAACATTAATGTTTTTCGCAAAATTCTTTCTGAAAGCCTTTTTATCCAGTATCATAAACCAATATAAAGCATAAATTCTTTAATCCGCTTTTGAAGCTTAATAAGTGGATGCATTCCACAAAAGGCCTAACTTTCTTCAGTTGTGGAATGCGGGTTGGTAAATTGCCTATGTTTAGACGGATTTTACTATTTTGTGTATCCCTTTTCGTCTGTTTTCCACCCAGTTTTAGTATTATTTATAAAGTAAATATTTAAACAAAACAATGGTTTGTATTGTTACCTTCTTTTCGCTTAATTGCATCAGAATTTGATTTAACAGGATCCTCTGAACGTGTTAATCTAGGTTCTTGGTTATCGATCTACAATCAGCTATGACTATCGGAACAATGATTATCGAATCGATATTCTGCATACCGACAATCGGGTAAAAAATATATTTATTTTTATTATTTATCCCGTACAGAAACAATTCTTGGTTGCAAGTTACCTGTCAAATTTGAAGGACAAATTTATAGGACTATTATCAGACCTGCCGTCCTACAAGGAACTGAATTTTGGCCAATGAAGAGTATGGGTGAAATATAGACAGTTACAATAATCCTACAATTGCAATCTAATCATAGTAAGTGTACATTGCCAAAGACACGCTCATAATTTAAAATTTTCTAATAATTGACCAACTGTAAAATAAATTACAGTTGATAGTTACGCTTTTAACCATAAAATTAAACCTTCTTTCAACTTATTTACGATTAGTTCGATGTTACCTTAAGTAATATTATATTCCAGTCAAAGACTGATGGAGATCAAATAATTTTATATTTTTTTAAATTTAGATACATGATTATGAAGACGCATGTGTTTCTTATTTTGCTTGTTTTGAATTTTAATGTAAGTACATTTCACTCATAAATACTAAATCATTAATACAAATATTTATCATTGAGGTTTTTTGAATAGATAGATGTTTAGGTCTACTTTTAGAATTCATAAAATTTAATTGTGAATTGATCTTGGAAAAACAGAGTTCGAAGTTCTCTTTTTTAAATAAAATTCCGATTTTTTTTCCGAGTTTCCGAGTTTCCAATTTCAACGATTCCGTTTCTCTATTGTTAGTGTAGACATTTGAAAGCAAGCCAGATATTCCACTAACGCCGTAGGTATGAAATACCCATAGTTTTATTTATTTCTATCCGATAGAAATTAAAGCCTCGTACGAAATATGTATTATTTTGTTTATATTTTTATTATGTTTATCGGCAAATATTGAAGTTATTGTAAGTTACTATATTAAAAACCGATCTTCACATTGGCTCTTATGTCTATAACGTATTTCAATTAGTTTTGGCACAGGTAATCAAGAGATAATAATGTAAATATCTTTGTGTTATGAAAAAAGGAATCCTTTCTAAGGAGAGGCCTATGTCCAGCAGTGGACTAGTATAGTCTGTTGATGATGATGATGATGATGAAAGACCTTGAAGATGTCAAAATAGGAGATCATAGTATGAGACGCCCAGCAATTGCCAAAATTATTTTAATGAATTTTGATGTAAAGATAAACACAATCTTGGAGAAGAAAAAGTATATATGATAATATATCTTCATTTAAAAACATTGCTTTAAAAATAAACAATGTTCTGTGTTTGTCCATACTAATTTACCGTTCCAGGTTTAAAGAGTAGAATTTCCTCTGAGACTCGTGATCCAATCATGGTTCGAAGCACATATAGCTTGCAGACGAAGTCGCGAGCACCAGCTAGTAATTTAATATTTTAAGAGTTAAGCTTTCGCGCCTTACCTTCTTTATCAATCGTCCATGAAGATGTATATCCTTGTCGTCAATTAAAGTAAAACACATTTTTGGTTTTTCCTTCATTAGAATATTTCTGTGAATCCGCAGACAGGCAGACCGATATAATAATTCAGTACTCGGAGATCGTTATGCACTCTCTGTCAACCGGTTTCCATTTTTCGCAAAAGAGGGTACTTTCTTCTCCTGTCGCCTTTCCGTCAGCCAACGTCACCGTCAGCCAACGTCACCTCCTTACAAAAATAGACGACTGTATTCTGTGTATCCGTATATCTTCACTTCCGACCATCAATAGAATCAAGGTGTAAAGACAAAGACTTTATTCACCGATACCACCACTGCGCCTACCCTCAGCACTCCATTAAATGTATACCTGCTGCTTGCAGTACTTATCCTACAACTTTTTTACTGTCCTTTTGAATATTCAGGAAAACCCTTACTCTTTTAAAGCCAAATTGCAAATCAGTCTTAATTAAAGAATACATAAACAATGTATTATTATTTAACTTTCATGTTCCTGTCATTGGTTGAGGAAATCTCATGAGTTGAGGAAAATATATCAGAATCTATTGATTTTTTTTCTATTAAATTTAGGCGATAATATCAAAAGTTTTTGCTATCGTCACTACAACGTAAAACAAAAGGTTAGGTAAACCTGAAAAACATGTTGCGATTTTGTTTAATTAACCCAAAGTTTATTTGTATACCTGTTGCATTTTTTTTCCATACTAGTTTCCATATCGTCATAGAAATTCTTTTCTAGATAATATATCTTCTGATTTATAATCTAATTTTCTGTTTATTAGACATATTTCTGAGGTACTTACTAAAATAAAATGATACTCCTTCTGATCCTATGTTAAAATTTGTCAGCGGTTACCAAAGTTATAGATTTAATCAGATGTTCAAAATGTAAAAATAATAGTTGCCATCAAACCCTTTGAAGCTCCCAGATACTTTAGACGTAATGCTTGTGTCTAATTAGTTGATGTCTTAATAAGTTATTCAAATTTATTAAACATAAGGACCGCATTGAAGGGGCAGCAATGCAGAAGGAAAACGCAAATGTCAGGGCATTAAAACACTCTCCTGAAAAATTATACGATAAGAGCAGTGTTGTAATCTTCAAAGTAAGTGTAACATCTATGTATATCTAAGCCCTTATAAGAAAAATAAGTTAACTTTAAAAGCTAATTATATTTTATAGTGTACGGTAACTAATTAAAATCTTTTTCAGTCATATAAGAGAACCGACCCTTTTTCATTTATGGTATTTTACTGGAAAAAATCGGGTCACAAAGAGAGTTCAACCCCGTATAGAAGTAAAAAAATGAAGGCATTTGTGAATAAGATGCCTTTGCTAAGAAATTGGATAAACTACGGTATATCTAAAGTATCAAGGGATACATCCAATAACTGTATTGATGAATGCAAGAATAACATTGAAGAAAATTGCGGTGATTGTACTTTAACTGAACTTAAAGTCATGACAGCACTTTGTATTGAAGAAGCGAAATGTAACCACCGTTAATACTTCAGACAGTGTCAGTGCGCGTTTGTACTCTCATAATTAGCCCATCGAAGAGCTCCGAGTAGTCTGGAGTCAATCTTTACCCTAATACGGTACATTTTTTAGCAAATTCGGGTCAGCGTGCAAGGCATAATCCAAACTTACAAACATTCGAAGCAAACGTATAACATTATATGTAAATTTATATATTACTTGATATCAATCATCACTAGATGTATATGTGTTATCACAAATCAATTAGCTTTTTATATTTCGTATAAACAACATCAATAAAAAAAAAAAAACAAAATTTGGATAGTATTTTAAAACAAGTTTTTCTAAGATCATAATCATAATTTCCAAAGATTGTAGTAAAAATTACATTATCAATAAAGTATTCGTATTTATAATTATTCAAATGTTAAACGTATACCCTGAAAATCAATCTTAATTTACTTACAAGGTTAGTACCTTGTAAGTAAATTAAGACGTACGTACTAGTGTACGTCGTAGAATATTCTGCAAATAAAACCAAAACATTTTGTTTTAACTTGTGACATTTGGGATGGAATCGAACAGACTAAAAATGCTCGCACGTAGTGTTAATCTATTCTAACCAGTATTCGACAGTCGAAGTAACCCTTACGGAAGTTCCTCTGTTTCTCCAACTAACCGAGACCGCATGGATAACTAATTTCCTCATTCATATTTTGCTTTAGTAACTTAATTCTAACTATTAGTGAATAAGTCATTAGACAGTATTCTGTATTATAAGATGATGATGAATATGGTTTGAAAAAAATAACCGTTTAAACTGTGAAATCTATTTAATAAAAAAAATGATTCTACATGTATAAACATAATTGCTGAAAAATTCTTAACATATTATCGGAAAGATTTGATCAGGTGATTATGACCATTCTTTTACAAATCCATAGTGTAGATTTATCCACCAACGGTGTACATTAATCTCTCAAAATGCCTAAAAATAGCCGCTCTCCCAACGGGGTCACGTTTTTATGATAGAGGAATGTCTCATGGACATTATAAGTTATAGGTACTTGGATACTTTGTAGTAGTGCAAGTAAGTAGCAATACATGACTTGTATCAAATAAAAGGGTGAACTTTGCTTCAGATTATACTTGAAGTGTATCATCGAAAAAAGATTATTTGTTACTTTATTTACTTTATTGTATGTACCGTATGTCTTTATGTAGTCGTATCCTAAACAGCGTGCTTAAAATATTTTATGACTATTGGGCGAACGGAACAAACACAAAACATTGCATTTTATATATGAGATTTATCTATACCCGAAATTACATGAATTTTTTGGCACGTTATATTTAATAGAATTAAACCATTGGATTTCACTGTTCCAATTTGGTAGAAACCTTTACAATGCTTGAAGATGTAAATAATATTTTTTTATCATAATAGGGGGCCAAGGAGCAGACAGATCACCTGATTTGTTGTAACCACCGCTACCCTTAGAGTTGAATGCTACTATAGCCCCCCCATCATTAGGGTGGCTATGTTGGATTCGAAGCAACCAAAAACCGCACTCCGTCCTCGGGTACTCGTAGCCGGGGAACCAGGTGTACTCTATAAAAAATCCCAGGAACCACGACGTACCTCGGGCCATCTACAGATTCCAGAAGACCCCCTCCTGTGTGGGAACCCTGATTTAACACAGGACTCAGGATCTTCTGCTCCCCCGATGATGTGGGAACAGAATACCCTGAATAATGGCACCGTGATTAACGTTCGCCTGGTGGATTCAGATATGTAAATCCATTATTGGATTTTCATCTCCGCACCCCGCTGCAAACCTTGCCGCTCTCCAGCAACACCCTCTGTCGCCGTCGATGACTTAGGTGCAGAAGGCCGGACCCCCACCTTCACTCCTGAATGGCGCAGGCCTTACTGCCAACACGGTGGTCGACAGGTTTGCTCCCCGCTGCGCCCATAAACCAACGACGCGGAGCATTGCAAGAACCCGCCTTGTGACCGGGCTACCCACAGCGGAAGCAAAGGTCGCGGTGACTTTTGCCGTGCACTGAATCCCCACATGTCCCACCGATAGGCACCGGAAGTTCCGGCCTTCACGTAGACCAGGAAGCAGCCTCCGGCCTCCATCACGGCGAGCCTAAGCTGGTCCGCCATGACTGAGTCATCCAGACCTGTGATACGAACTTTTAATGGAATTTAATGGAAAATACCCTATAAAGTTTGATTCCCTTGAGTGTGTCGAAATACACGTTTATTGCAGCATAAACGCCCGTATCCTTTTTTACGTTAACTTAGTAGTTTGATTTTTTTACAGTTTTAAGAGACTGTAGGCCTGAGTATATCGTTTTAATTTTAATTCGATACCTCCACGGAAACCGATAAAGGGTCTTGACAGACAGACGGACGGACAACAAAGTGATCCTTTAAGGGTTTCGTTTTTTCCTTTTGAGGTAAGGAACCCTAAAAACGCTGTCTATCGCAAGCATTTGCAGCGTTGCAGAGGTAAATTCTCAAGTCCTTTTTTTCAAGAGATTTTTACATGCATGGGCAGCGGTTTAGCTATCTCCCAAGCTTTGCAGATATACATATGCGTCTTGATTCAGGAGAAGTGCAAATGTAATGCATTACGAGTACAGTTTATTGCAATAGGAATGGCGCCGTAAATTTTAAATTATTGTCATAGCACTTCAGAATTTCACTTTCATATCCTCATTAATAGAGTTTACTCTTTCCGTCAAAATAATGTCGAAACATTCATCTTAGAATGTCAATTTCACGTAAAATTAAAATTAAATATGGTACCCTTTTTTAAATAAAAGGTCACTGAAGCATTGGCAACCCTATTCCTTGGCGTGATACTTATCAAATAAAATGTTATTAACTCCAAGAGTTTAGCTCATAAACCAAGATTTTTATATTAGGTCCTTACATATGAAATTGGCGTTTTGTACGGTTGGAATATAAAGTCTTTTTTTCTGTAAAATATATTTAATTAATCAAAGTATGCACCGTTGTTATCTATACACTTTTGACATCTCATAGGTAGTTTATTGATCCCTTTACTGAAAAAACTATGAGGGCGAGAATCGACAAACTCCTTGAAGGCGGTTTTGACTGCCGCATCGGAGTTGATTTTTTTCCTTCTAAGAAGTTGTTTAAATTCCTGAAAAAATGGTAATCTGTTGGAGCAAGGTCCGAGGAGTACAGCGGATGTCGCAGACGTTGCAATTGTAGCTCATCTAACTTAGTGGTTGTTTGTTGTGAAGTGTGTGGTCTTGCGTTGTCGTGAAGCAGCAGTGGCCTAGAGCGATTGACCAATCTCGGTTGTTTAGCAGATAGTTCTTCCTTCATGCAGTTGCTGACAATAGATATCTGCCGTAATAGTTTGGTCAGATTTTAGAAAGCTGTAGTGAACGACACCGGCGCTAGTCCACCAAACACTCACAATTTGGGTGGGTCTCCAGGATTCAGCCAAGGCGACGAGCACTTCCGATTATCGTACAGTAAATGGTTCTGAAGGTCGAAATTTCCAGAACGAAAACGTTGAAAAAAAAACGTACCGTGCTTTCTTTTGCGACACCAGCGCCGTACACATCATTAATCCTTCGAGCTGTTGTTTCTGCAACACTGGTGCCACGGTAGAACTCGTACTCGTAAATATACCGATATTTTATGTTTTCCATTGTACGGTAATAAGCGACGCCAAAGAAAAAAAAAAGAGGAAAAACAAATGAATGACTGTTTTCCAAACTCAAATGTACCAGCTAAATGAATTTATAAATTTGAATTTGGAGTTCTTAACCAAAGAGGAGATATTTTACATCAAAGTGGTCAGTACGACAAAACGCTAATTTCAAATGTAAGGACTTAATATATTGAAATACTTACATAGCGTACAATAATTACGTATCTCGACTAACGTACTTACTAGTTACCGGTGCCTAAACCATCATCTAGGTCCTTTTTGAAGAATCCTTTATGCAGAGGTATTTTCTTAGAATAGTGGCTATTTAGTAGCAGAAATTTAGGGTAGATTTCTTTTGGTAATATTTATAGATATATTTTTCTCATTTTAGAAAAAAAAAAATAGAAATAAAGCTTGGTTTTAAATGAAAAAAGGTTAATTTAGCGTATCGTTGTACAGTATATCCTAAAATTTTAATTAGTTTTATCAAGTATCATGGACGGAATTTGTGAAAATACTTGTGTATGACCCGTGTCACTTTGCTTGACAGGTATATTAACAAATGTCAGCCGTTTCGAACTCAATTGTTTGATGCCCTCTGCCTCTACAAAAACTTGTACATTTATTCTGTCAGTTTGCTACCTTTTCATATTTACTATTTCTATTTGAAATTCACAGTCTGAACTCAGTCGCTTAAGTTTATAGTTTGGATTACGATCATGATTGTGAAATTTCGTGATTCATAATCTTTTTAAAACCTTAAAAATAAAACCTTGAGATATTTCACGTAAACACTAGATATGTATGGTTTTTAAATAAATTCGTGTAAATAAATTCGTCCGTGTGGTGACGGATTAACAATACAGAGTCTCCCCACCCCTATTCATCCCGTGGGTGTCGTAAGAGCCGACTAAGGGAGTAAAAAACGCAGAACAACACCACTGCAAAGAGAAGGAAAACTTGACACAAACCCTATACCAACCCGTCTGGCCAGCGTGGTATAGTAGGCCAAAACCTCCTTTCTTAGGAGAGGCTTATGTCCAGACTATTAAAGGCTGCTGATGAAATACAGAATTGAAAATAATTGATACACACTTTATTTGACTGCACTTAATACACAATTATTTATTTTGGGTAGAAATCAAACCCTCGATCTCTGGCTAACCAGTTAATTAGCATCATATCATCGGCTTACAATGTACAATTTGGACACTCTATCTTGTGAAGATTATCTTAATAATTACTAAACTGTTTGCCTCTTAAATAACAAAAGTGAAAATGGAGTAGGTACGTTTGATTACTACAGACAACAGTCGCAGATAT